CAGGAATGAGGAGGATGACCAGAAGTGGATTTGCCTGCCTACATCAAAACTGAGCCCAAAGTTGCGACCACTACCAAGGGAATGAAACATCAAGGTGATAACAAAGAAGACAACACTTTTCACCAGTCTGTCGACGCAGCACAAGAAGACTGACAAAATTGATTTCTGCTGCAAATAACCATAACTGCAGCGGTAGATGAATTTGATAAGAAGCGTTTCTCTATACAACCTAGACAGCATTAACAATTTGTGAAAGGGTCAGACCCCTTCTATCAACAAATAGATTTTCAAAGTCCATTCTTATGATGAAAACTATTAAAGAATCAACTTGATTCAATCCAGCATGCCGAAATGCAGGGTCAAGCCTTCTAAATATAAAATTAGAATGCTAAAATATCGTTAGTAGAAACATAATAAATGACATGAGCATGAGTAGTCTACCAATGACATTGCAAAACATTTTACCTGTTCCCGGTAAATGAAGGATGTTCAATTCAGGTGGTATGGTCGGGCCAAGTCCAGTAAACATGGTAGTGGATGAAGAGCCAGTTGAATTTGCTAAGGAGGCTGTGTTATTTGTAGGTGTAGCTGTTCCTGAATACAATGAGGCTTGTTTAGCCTTTATCCCTGTTGCCTGAGCAGACACATGTTTGCGGTTGGTCCCCATATGTTGCGCATGTGATTTTTCAACTGGGCTTAGGGGCAATCTGCGCAGTTGGCCTGTGGCTGGAGTCATGGCTCCCACATGCGAAGGTGATGAATTTCCGGCCATTTGAGAGATGCGCTTTCGAGGTGGACTGAATAGTCCCATGGATGTGGAAGATGGAGCTAAAACATCGCTAATGTTATTAGATTCCAGATGGGATTTAAACGCCTGATGAACTCTCCGGGGTCGCGGAAGAGAGGCATGTAGAGATGTCAGGCCAGGGCCTGGTGGCAAAATAATCTGATTATTGTTGCTGTTGCCACCGCTGTTGCCAGAGCCTAGGCAGACGGGAGACAGACCAATGTCGAGGAGGCCGCTATAGCCGGAAACTGGATCTGAGCTGTCACCAATGCAAGTTGGACCACAAGATGGCAAAGTGTCAAGAACTCGAGCAGCTGCCATAAAATCTGAGGTATTCTTGAGGCAGAAAAATAAGAAAAAAATGAAAGCAAAAGAGACGAGGTGGAAATGAAATGCAGAGCCATTTTGACGAGAGCTGAAAGCCATGAACTATGACATATCAAAGATATATTGAACATTTGGCATCTGATGAATAAGTGATTTAATTAAAAAATATGAAGAAAAAAAGAATTTAGAAGAATTCTTTTGTGATTCTTTGTGACATGATTTTCCCTGGTCACTTTGTATACACCTATTCAAGCGATCTTAATGAGGCACCCTATGATTTAGTTGGCAACCTCCGGCTTACTCCACATACTTGAAGATGAGTGAAGTTAATTCATAAACAGGAAGTGGACTCGGTGGTAGCTGCTTCCTTACATTAATAAATTAACATACGATCCCCTAATGTTGACTCATGTTTAGGTATGTGCTATTGTCGATTGTGTCTATATGAATAATTCTCCAGTTTTCCTTTTACTTAATAAGCCACCAAAGGCAAACAGTGTAGAAAAACTGGGTTTCGAAGAATCCCTTACTAAATTAATGTTGGAGTTCCTTTCATTACGTTTGAAATGTAACACAACACTATCTCAGTCTTCATATCTATAAAATATGAGATGCCTAAGAGGGCCAAATTGGA